GTCGACAGCCCCAAGAGGTCGATAGTCGAAACGCCCATGGGAAAAGGAGGGGTAGTTCAGAAAGGTTTTGGTCCGAAGGAGGGGAGTATAGAGAGATAATCCCGAGAGTGTCGGGTGTCAGACTTTGATGCAGACCGCTTCTAAGGAATTTGTGGTAGAAATAAGCCTGTACTTGATAGAGTTTCTAATAAAAACGACTACGCTGCCGGCACCAGCGTTTTCACGGTCCTTTCTGCAGGATGAGGAATAAAAAGTTTGATTTTCTGCGACAAATAGGTTTCGGTCATGCAGATAACATCCATTTACTGCTTTCGAGTTCAGTCAGTTTGCCTCTGATACTTTGAGCATTCCAGGCAACTATACGAAGATTATTTGAGTGGGTTGTAGTTGGAGGTTGGTATCCAAATATTGTTCAGTTTTATGCCCTCGTCTTTTCTGTTAAAATTACTTTATGTTTATGGATTTCTATCGCTTCCCTATGGAGTTTTGGACAATACCTAACTTGAAGTATTTGATATTAATGGGGTGCCATCAAATAGAATTCAGTCACTTTTGGAATTTCTTTTAATGGTAATTCCACTGGGCCCAACAACTTTTCGTTGTCTGGCTTGGATGGCTCACATCTGCCCACGATGGTCTTGAGGTGCCGCCTTCTTTTAATGCCTGTCCTGGTTTCTTCTCTGCAGAAGATTAATGTTTGTAGTTTTTCACGCATCTCCAGGATACTGCATTTGCATTGTAATCATCGTGCAAAATGTCTTTTGGGTTTTGTTCCTAAGGGGAACTACCATCCATATAGATACGTATGAAAAAGATGGAGGGTTTCAACCACAGTCAGTAGCTCGGTTCGGTGAACTATAGGTATGTCAAGATTGGACTCCGGATAGTGCAATATTCAAGTTGTAAAATGCTTTTTGACATTAGAGTGTCCGTTGAAATAAAACTTCATCTTTTGTCATTTCGGAGGTGGCCGTTGAAAGTTCATCCTAGTATGATGTCGTCTAAGTAAACCAAACTGATTTTCCAATTTAGTCTTGTAATACAATGTCCACGAGTCTTACAAATTTAGCCAAAAGACTGCCAAAAAACATATGCAGTTGTGAAAGCAGGCTTCTGCTTATCCTGCACATCCACTTGACAGTATCCATTATCCACTCTTCACTCTGAGATTAGAATAGCATTTAGCTTCAACAACACTGCCCAGGGTGTCGCCGATTGGTAGAGTGAATAACTGTCCTTCTACGTTCAGCTTCTTGTAGTCCACACAACCATCTTTATACGTTGCGTAACAGCGCTATAGGAGAGGCCTAAGAACTTTGAAGTAGATCTATCACCTCTTGTTTATGTATGTCCTTTATTAGGTTATTGACTTCTTCTAGCATCGAGTAAGAAACATTTCCAGGTGGTTGTTTGATGGGTTTTAGTCCTTTCGATGTTTTAATCTGAGAGGGCGAAGACATGTTGAAAACGGTGAAGAGGTTCTTCCAATTGTTTGAGTTGGTGCTTGTTGAGGTAATTATTTGATCCTTTTACCGGTGACAGTAGTGGATTTCATCTACTGGTTGAAGTCACTATATAGCACACTTTGTCGCTTCTTCGCTTTTTCTACTTCGCCTTTAATAGCCTCGTTACTCGAACTCGTACTAACTGACTGTTTCAACTTCACACCAATTATTTATATGGGCTAGCCTTGTTCTAAAAATATCTAGAGTGTAACGTCTAGAAAATCTGATCTTCTTGTATGTTGGGTTGACTATATGTGACACTGTATGTTGAGTTCCCCATATGTGACAATATTATTTAATTTAATTTAATTCAATTTTACGCAAAACGGGTTTATTCAAAGAAAGTTAGAATACAATGTTTATATATGTGAATCAGGTATAAAAAGAATTTTTACAGAATGCATTAGTAGAGCGGTACGATATGTTTTATTCTTGACAAAGAAGTTGTCGTTGAACCTCCAAAAAAGTTAATGTTGGAGCAGTACTTGTTAACTAGGTTTACCATTCTATTTCTTGGTCCATGGTATACATAACCATTCGATGAGTTTTCTCCGATTAACAATTTGTGATGTCTTAGACCAGGTTTGAAACAGACAATGTTAAATTGCTGCAATATTTCAGGTGAATCTATTGGTCCATTAACAGGCTTATAGAAAAAAGTAAGATCCGCAATTTGTCGTCGGATTAAGAGACTGCCAACCTAATGCAACGTTATATCGGATTGGGTTTTGCCTGGAGGACCAATTCTATTGTTTAATCAAAATAAAATTTTTCAGAAAAAAAGATAAAATGTAAGACTAACGAATTCACCAACTCAGAATAAATAGCACTTTATTAACAAACAAAGTATTTTTTAACAATAGAAAAATAGTTGCGACTTCGTTCGTGTCTTTTGTTATAATGTCCCATTTTTATCTGGTAAGTTCCAAATCCGGTTGTTTATCCTGTTGCCCATGAACGTTTGTTTATCCCTGTAACCGTCCGTTGTTTTCCGAATTTACCGCCGGCGTAACCCGATATCGTCCATACAAGACGGCTTCTCCAGAGGCCTCGACTGAGAGTCGTACTCGACTCTACGCATGCCTTGCTTAAGATACCGGGTGTTCGTTACATTCGGCCTTTCCTGACAGTGGAGGGTCCTCACGACTTCTTTTACCATTCATGAGCCTAGCGTCAACACAGAGAAGGAAAAACAATTTACTTATAAGTATTATAAGATTACTTATGTAACTGGAGGGCGCCCCCTCTATTTGTTTTCAATTAATAAGAAACAAAATAAACATAAACAATAAAAATAAAACTAACAATTGTTTAAGAGATCTCTTTTCAATGGATACCCTTATTTTTGTTTTGTTTTTAATAAACCATGTGAACCCACGCGATGCATGACCTATGGACCCATACTACACCAACCAGAAAGAAGAGACAACTGGTCTGACCAGCCCACTTCCCCACAATGCTGGTGCAGCCGCAATCCACAAGGGCAATTTGCACTCCATGCAACGCCGCAATTCACTTGCGTCTTTGTTTTACTTACTTACGGTTCACTGGGAACTTTTCCTTATTGGGTTTAATCCTCATTAATGAAGGTTACCGAGGGCTTCATATTTTCTACTCCTGATACCCCATGATATGGAACTCATGATCTTTTCATACTTGGAATTTTGGCGTTTCCAGTGTTTGACGGGGAAGAAGTATAAAATCCCAAGCGTTGTATTGTTTAGGGCGGCACCTTTTTGTGTCGAATTACCATTTTTGTTTTACTTGTTGATTGTACCATTCAGACCAAGCTCAATGTTATTAATGTCCTTACCCTGTTGATCATCATCTGGGAGTCGTACTCGACCCTACGCATGTCTTGCTTAAGATACCGGGTGCTCGCTACAAAAAATCACTACAAAACAGTGTTCAAAAAGTATCGCGAATTTTGTGTTTTTCAAAAAATATTTATTTATTCGTAAATATTTATTTAGTCCCCTTCAAAGTATTCCTCACAAGATGCACCTGTTCCTACGTGTTTTCCTATCCTCGAAGCACTTCAAAAAATCATTTCTTGTGATCTTGTTCAGCTCCTCCTTCAATGCCATCTTTATCTCCTTAATCGTAGAGTCGTTTCATGGGCCTCTTCAGTTTCGAGAACAAGAAAAAGTCACAGGGGGCTACGGCATTATTATTAGTGTGTTATTTTTGGCCAAAAATTGGCGCACAAGCTGCGATATGTCAGCAGGGGCGTTATTATGGTACAATAATTGTTTTTCCACAAATCCGGGCGTTTCTGGCGGATTGCTTCGCGCAAGTTGCGCATAATTTGCAGGTAATATTCTTTATTGACCGTTCTACCCTGTGGAAAGAACTCATGATGCACCATGCACCATCGAAGAAAATTGTAAGCAAAACCTTCACATTTGACCTAACTTGGTGCGCTTTTTTCGGTCTTGACTCCTGCGGCAACTTCCATTGGGATGATTGAGCTTTGGTTTCCACGTCATAACCATAAAGCCATGATTCGTCACCAGTTATGACCCTCTGGATCAAATTTGGGTCGTCGCGCACAGAGTCCAACAGCTCCTTAGCAATGATAATGCGATGCTGTTATTGGTTGAAATTGGTCTCACGCCCAAATCATTGGTAAAAATCGAATGGCAGGAGCCAATCGATATCTTTAGATCCTCAGCAACTTCACTAACGGTGTTTCGACGATTGGCCAATACTATTTTCTTCACTTCTACAATGTTTTCGTCTTTTGTTGACGTGCTCGAGCGTCCGGCACGTTTTCGTCGTTCACATCTTCTCGGCCTTATACACACAGTTAATATTCTGAATGCGTCAGCACACCTAATTTTGTTATTCACATAAAATTTGATACAGATTCCTTGATATACCCACATATTATACATGTCGCCTGTGGACGGTGATGTACTGGCAACGATCGGTCATGTCTTCATCGGCTGGATGTTGTTTGGGCATCGATTAAAATATACGGCTCGGATAATGTAGTCGGAGACTGCGATGATCTTTAAGTGTCGCAAAAATTAGGACGGCTTTCGATCACCCGCCCGTTCATTTTCTAACAAGAATCGACGAGTTTTTTCCTTTTAGGCGCACTGAGTTAAGTAACTAACTGAACTAACTTAAAAAATAGGTAATTCTTGTTCTCAGTTATTATATATATTTTTATTATCAGGGACTAAAGATGGAAATCTGAGAGCGATTAATCGGGCCAAAAAGAATCGATTTTTTAATATTTTTTTTCATGGGCAAGTAAGTGCGTGCCCATTCTAGAAAGACTAGCGAATTGTTATTTTTTGATGACTAGCACTGTAGACTTTTCATGAGCAAATATAATAGAAAATTTAAAGGGTTAATTTTGTGATTAATATGTAAATCAAAGCTGCATGAACCTTCGAGGCGCCAACGCCTTGTCTCGCTTGTGTCAGTATTATACAAATTTTGTTATATAAGAGCAATAACAATCAATCATTCTTCTTGTTTCAGAAAATGGCCTTAAGGTGACTTCCCACAAAAACATACCTAACAAAATGGCTGGAAGTCATTTACTCTACACTACTAATATTACTGTGTCCCCGACATTTATCAGTATATCTGTCCATAATAGTACAAATTCTACAGTATTTTCTAACGGTAAGTAGTGATGCCAGCCCGCACTAACCTTATCAAAATAAAGTTAAGGATTATAATTATTGCAATTAAATGTATACCGTGTATAATGATTATAATAGAAAAGATACGGTAATAATGGTTTCGCTACTTCAGTAACTTCATTAAGTAGGTAAGTATTGGTACAGATAGAGGAGGGTGATTATATACATACAGGGTGTCCCAAGCAAGAGGGTTTCTTCAATAACTACTTTACAGTTGAAGATATCAAAAAAAGTATCTTACAAAAGTGGTACTGTATGAGTATATTCATAACCCAAAATTATTTTCGATTATACAGTGTCCCACTTTTCCTGAAGGCAACCTAACTTCATTTTCTTAAACGGAATGCCCCATTTATTATTGCATTTTTGAATTCCTCGTTAAATTTAAATGTCACTTTGTTAACCATATATTATGTCTAAAATGCATTAATTTCCATAAAATTCGTTCTAAATCAATAAATAGGTTGTTACAGTGTTCTTTCCGAAACAGAAGCACACATCAGAGGCGTCTTATTTTCACACATAGCTTAACGCAAACATGTTCTTTTCAAATTCATTGAAATCTACCACTTCCAAGATAAATTGCTTCGAACTGGCATAACTATTTTTTTAAATGGAATGCCATAATTTTTGTTTTATTTCCTTTCGTCCAATAAAAGGATGTTACTATCTACTGCTAATACTTTTTGAGAAAGTTTAAACTTTTTTATAATGCTCCTTAATATCAGAATATCGAGTACGCCTTGTTCGGCGATTTTCTTTTATTCACCTTTGTTTGCAACGAACGCCAATAGCACTGGCACTCTACACAATTATTTATATAATCAGCGGTGAATAGACGCATACCAACAAACTAGTACTTGGTAGCGATCTTTTGTATAGTTCTATCTATACCAAAGTGTCCCTAGCAGAATCATTGATATTTCGAAGTATGTCTTTACGGAGACTTTCAGGAAGTACCAACTGCAGCTTTTCACAATTACAGTCAGAATCCATCCACCATTGACTATAATGTAACCTCTTTTGGTCCATCTAACCAAGTCCAACTGACTGCTTCCTCCTAAGATAACTATTATATTGCTAAGCTGAGAGTAATCGATTTTTGGTCACACGAGGATGTCGAGTTGTAGTCGCAAATGGATCGAGATAAGTTATCAGCAGCGACATTTATCTTCCCTGGTGTATAGACTATCTTTATATCCAGGCTTTGGATTCTCATTGCCCATTTGGCTAATCTACTTGATGGTGATTTAACGGAGAACAACCACTGTAGCTGTTGATGATCAGTAGGTACACTGCAAAAGGCAGCGTGGTGCAAAACACACACACAAATGTGTTTTAAAAGACGTAGGTGTGTAATTTGATATTGATAAGTGTGTAATAGAAATTATGTGTGCTATTTTACACATTTACTTTAACATTGTGTTTTCCACAATCGACACACTTATCCATAGTAAAAGTAGCTCTGCTGGAGTTACTAGGCGGCTTTCAGACTTAACAGGCCGTTCATTTATATTCTCCCCCCTCGAAGGCACTACCATCAGTTTATATTTTATAGGGTTAATTCGGATCAGCTTGTATAAGCATCGGACTACTAATTAAAGTCTTCTTCGGAGATTCGAACGAATGTAGTTCCTTTCACTGAACTCGAACTCGCGGTCTTTTTTCAATAAATCAGTCAACGGACGTGCAACTTCGGAAAAGTTCAGAGCAAGCTTCTTAAACCACGAACAAATTTGTATACCACTATGAGTGTGTTTCTTACATCTTGGCGGTTTAATGTCTTTGATCGCGGCGATTTTGTCCGGATCAGTTTGTATTCCTGCCGAGCTAATAATATATTACTTACTTAACGAATTCTCGAAAAAAATTAATAGTTGTCGCGTCGCGCACGTAATGCAACACGCACTTTAAATCTTCAGTGCGTTTATCAAATTTTTTGGACAATACTAGAATATCATCTAAATAAGCAAAGAATGACCAAAAATACCAAAAGATGTCGCCAACATCCAAACTGGAGATCAATCGTGGACATAAAAGGAGTGGGTTTAGATATTTGTTATAACTCATTTGAAAGAATATGTCGGCAACGGTAGAATGGTTGAGCCGTCGATAGCCAATTGCCCATGGAAATTCGCATTCTTCAGTTATGCCTAAAGCCAATAATTAATTCAGTTTTTGTTGAAGAAACCTTTTGATGTGTTCAATTAGCGGAGTTGAATTTTCTCCTTAATAACTTTTCGACTAATTTCTGTTATTTCACACTTAAATGTACACCAACTTTAGTTTGTAACGTAAAACTTGAAATTTGAAGAGTTTCAAGACGTGTCGTTCCTTTGGAAATGTATATCAGGGTCATCGTAAAAGTACCTATGCTTTTGAGGAATATTGAATACGATTCCTGCAAATTCGAGGAAATCGCATCCCAATAGGGTATTATTCTGCGTCAGATGACGCAATACCTTCAATCTTACTTGTATTTACTCACCACCGATTTCAATGGTGACATTTAAAAGTTTGCCTAGTATTAGTGTCCGACCGAAAGTTCGGTTTCGGTCGAATTTCGGCAAAAAAACGAGTTTCGGTTTAGTTTCGGTTTCGGTGGAAAACCTGCCGAAACTACGACCGAAACCGAAACTGCGTTCGGGAGTTCTCGCGCGCTGCTCGGTCATGTTCGGCGCGTTAAAGTCCACCCAAGCGAAGTATACTATACTTACTCAAATAAACATCTCACCTATTTTAAGTATTTTTAAGGCGCAATTAAAGTATTTCCTTAAATGAGGGGTTGTTATGTTGATTTTGATTTGATTATCAATAAGTGAAAATGTCAAAGACTGCAGAGCTCTGTGATTTAAAGATAAAAAAATAAAACTGACTGATTATAATAACGTTTTCTTTATTTTTCTCTCAAAACNCAATAAGTGAAAATGTCAAAGACTGCAGAGCTATGTGATTTAAAGATAAAAAAATAAAACTGACTGATTATAATAACGTTTTCTTTATTTTTCTCTCAAAACATGATCCTTATAAGGAAGTTTCGGTTTCGGTTTCGATTTCGGTCGTAAAAACCAGTTTCGGTCGGACACTACCTAGTATGATTCCTTCCATCAGCCTAGGACAGAGTAGCAACCGAGCTGTCAAAATCTTAACTTAACTTTTGAAAATTCTATACAACTAGCCTGCACACCACAATCCGCGTAACTTGCATCGTGAAATCCATGAATGGTACTTGACAGTAGAGATCTAATGCTACTGGTTCCTTGAAATGCCGTCTCATAGGAGCTTAAACAATTTGTTCTCACAAGTTGGACATCTAGATTTAGTGACTCCAAGTGCACCGAATCCATAACAGCTGAATTGAGTCTTACTTGTAGTAACCTGATCAGAATTGCTTGTTTCTGGGGGCTTCTCCTTTTTCTTCAACTTTCGTTTTGACATGATAACAATTTTTGCAATAAGCGCATCTAGCCGGAATTCTCTTCCTAATCTTTTCCGACTGAGTTTTGCTTCGAATCTACTCTACTTTAAAACTGTATTTCATCTGGTATGTCTTTTTCAAATTTTACGTGAGATCAGTCCGAACACAATATCGATCTGGGCTTCGATTGGTATAAATATCATTTGACAAAAAAAAATTCGGTGCCCCTGTGTTACCCTGTTCTCTTGAAAACACTTACGGAAATACGAGAAAAAAAAATCTATCACGAAATACTGCTAAAGTGTCATTCTTGGAATTTATCGTGTTCTTTACTCAAACCCACCAAGTACTTGCTTGATCTTGTCAGGATGTTATCCAAAAACGCATTAACATTAGAAAAATTGGAACCATTAAAATGTGCCGTACATTTAGGAAAACATCCTACATTTTCTGAAGAAATATCATTTTGTGATGTTACTGCGGACGATGGTGTTGTTTGTAGAATTAACTCCCGAACTGTAGTAATTAACACGTTAAGTTACTCATTAGACATATTTCATTAGAAGGTGATGTGCATTGAGTATCAGAACCTGTTTGTTTAGAACGCAACATTTTATATTGAAGAGTTTTAAAGTTCAACAAATACTGGAAAATATTTCAGTTGTACAACACTGTTGATGGTACCTTGATAAAATCGATAAGGAGTAGGTACACTGAACTTACGGGATTTTTACCACACTAAAGTGTATAAGCTGATTATTCTCGAATAATTATAATGTTTTTCATGGACCGTTCGTTATTCGGGAGGAACGTTGGGCTGGCTGTTTAAGCCATATAACACATGTAAGTACTTTTGAAATGGATGTTTATTAATGAAACTTATGGATAACAACAAAATGGTCAGTGTGCTTGACATACATACAACTTGCAACTGAACAGAGATTGGTTATACAATAAAATCAATAACGTGTTTAAAACGATTCTTCGCAATGGTACGGTAAGGTAGAATCAGCCCTTGAGAGTTAGCGAATTGTGCATCTTCCTACAAGTTTCATTAAAATTACTTAAATATTTTTTATATTTATAATTATACGTACCTTAATACGCCCCGTTCTCCAACTGTGAATTCACTCCTATATATAAAAAAAATGTTGCTGTATAAAGTATCAAATTCTATAGGTTTAATCTATAAGTTAACATCTCTCAGCTTGTGCACTAACTGATGCTATTATCCCTCAAATTCATGTACTTAGGGAATATAAGACATTTATAATGTTTATACGATTATACCAAAAAAAGGGTAAATCTTAATAAATATATACATATATATGTGTATGTTCCAGATAAGAACGAATTCATTCTACCTATATGGCGACAAATTTTATGGAGTGTTCTTTATTTATCTATGGTTATTGTGGCAACTGGTGGTAATCTTATTGTGATATGGATTGTACTGGCCCATAAGAGGATGAGAACCGTAACTAATTACTTTTTGTGTAAGTGGTGGTCATAAAAATATTAGTAAGTCTTATACAGATTAGTGTTTTTTGGTTTTTACTTAATTATTTTTCAATATTATTACGTCCTTTGAGTTCCTTTTCTTCAAAATTAGTTGGTCACAGTGATTATCTACTGCCCTATCCTTCTCTCTTTTCTCCTATAGCAGTTAATGTTGGTAGTACGCCAATTTTCTTACCTTTGCTAAATCTGTTTGCATATGACATTAGACATTATCTGTGACAATGTTTTTGTATTATGCAGTGCTTTGATCTACTTTCTAAGTACTGTAGTACCCTTATCAAATTTTAAAATGTTTGGTAGTCTGATAAATTTATTTTGGCAATAGCTAAATTGATATCTGTAACTTGAGACTAATTAACGTAATGGGTAAAATTTGCGAATATACCAGCCATTGTATTTTCTCATTTATCTATCAGTCTATGTCCCCGATATTATCACAGAAATCTGTAAAGCAATCTTTACAAATTCATGTTCATCTGTTTTAGTCAAAAGAAAGGAATGTTTTAAGAAAACGCCATACATTTTTATTCAACTGCATGTAGGTGTTTGCAATATTTTCTCCCTTGTCCAAAATAACAATTGGAAAATTCATTTATACAAGATGCTTCTGAACTAAATAGCAAGCTTACAGGGGGTGAAAGGGCTCTATAAAACAATTAAGTAAATCTTTGGTGGTCCGAGAGTCAACCTGGTAGGATCACTCAGGAAAATACTACATTGCAACGATGCATCTATCAGCTGCTACTTAGCCGCATCCGTGTTGTATTTCTTTCCTATTTTTGTACCCATGTATTGTTTGTTATTTGTTAGATTAGATTAAGTGTGGTTAACAATGTCAACATTTACATCCAGTCTAGAGAAGTTCTTTGTTCTTTTAACGTTGTAAGCTTATGTTATATTACGTACATATGTAGACTCTCGAAGTCATTAGAAGTAGGTCAATGTGTCAATGTCACAGGTTAATTTAGAATAGTATTATTGCATTGACCAATGCGTTAGTTTCTAGATGAACATTTTCCTGAACGCTGGATTGGACCTACGGATCCTGTATCATGACCGACGCTTAGCCCAGTTCTAAATTCGTTTGACTTTTTTGTAAGAGGTTTTATGAAACATCGCGTGTATCAACGCCGATGCAGAACGTTAACAATTTTCACGATCATGTACGATCGTTGCAAATGAAATGCGCCAAATTGCCGACGTTTTTGCGCGACTTAGAAATAATTTTTGTTGTACACATACGTAAGCGTGTATGTATTTACTGATGTTGAAGTTCTTAATGTCATGCCGAGGTGTACTTTAAATAGTACTATAAACTATCAGCGATAATACAAATAGTTACTTACTTATAGGTTATCGCAATGGGCGTCTAAAGGTTATTAGGTGTGGTCGCCTAGTCGGAAGCTATTGATATTTAAGTTTATTAGCCGTTCCACAACCGTCACTGTTTACATTTTACATCGATGTAACCATATGTTACCAATTCATGCCTAGGGCTTTGGGTTGCAATATGGTCCTGTTGTCATACAATTTTTTTTGTTTCTTAATCACGCTGCTTTATTCACCATGCGATTTCCTATTGCATCTAGTTAACACCCTCCAAAGCTTGCTACTTATTTCAGAAACACCCTGTATACTGTATCTCAAATTAGCTCTATTTGGTTTTCATTGTAGAACAAACAAAATAGCTATTCACTTCAGTCCCTAAAAAAGGTAACCTTGTTACCGAAAAGTGCTTCGGTAACAAGGTTAGCAACTAAAAAAAACACTAAAACAAAATTAGTTTTCATTGATCATTTTCAGGTACCTGCAAAACTTGCCATCAGTTCGAGATTTCGATCACTGTTAGCAAATTTTAATAATATGTTTTTGTGGTAATTTTCGAATGTCTGTGTCAAATTTTATGAGGGCGAAAATGTTGAATACTTTGCGTCTTTGTAGTATCAAGTCTTTAAAAATTCTTATCGATGCTTCGCAATAGCTATATTCTAATTACTTCTGTACAACACGTCCCTCCAATAGGGTTTGCTCCATACTTTGCGTCATGTCTAATATAGGGTGTAACAGAAACAAGTACTGAGCTTTGGAAGGTGTTAACTAGCTGCAATAGGGAATCACATAGTAAGTAAAGCAGTGTGATGAAGGGACAAAAAATTTGTATGAAAACCAGAAAAAACAGTGAAGATTGTGTTATGTATAGCAAATTTCAACACGTTACCACTATGTTACTACACATAATAATGTTTAGACACCCATTGCGATAAGAGTTGATTAAATAACTACATTGTTCATGAAATAAATATAAAGGAGACTGGTGTAAATACAAATAAAAAGGAAAGGTCTTACCCCAACTAACCAGAACAGTTTAAAAAACGCGGACACGTGTTTGGTTCACTTACACGTTGTGAGCATTTTCAGTCTTCAATACCAATTAAATTGTTTTCAAAATTAGGTAAATACCTTTCTCACAGGAAAATAATATTTGGTGCTGCACCAAGACAATATTTTTTGCAAGTACATCTCGGCCCCGTCGTCACGCATCCATCAGTCATAGTTTATGTTTATGTATTGTGAAAATTAACAAGCGAATATTAACATCTTATCGATCATTACCTGGAACATAAATATTCCTTTTTGTTTTTTAAAAGACTACCAGGTCCTTTTATTCGGCCAATCCTGACCAGTCCTCGTCCTAGAGAGCTTCGTTTGATAGTTCTTTGGGAGTGGAAGGTCGTCTTGAATGTTATCATCATCAATATCCGATTGCTTTCAAATTCCGCCTGGAAGTACCCAGGGCTTCATCATTTTGTCGACACAGATAACATTTTCATATTTTCCCTTAACACGCCTTTTTGAATTCGGTAAGTCGGCAACGAGGTACCGATCGTTTGGTAGAACCGATTAACTATCATTGGGCCGGCATATCGTGGACGTAATTTGGAGCTTGGGCTGTCGTCAATAGTTTGTTTATCAATGAGTACAAGATCTCTAATCTTGTAGAGTTTTGGAGGTTTGCGTTTTCTATCAAAAGTTATTTCGTGCCGAGTTTGGCTTTCCTCGATAAGTTGACTAGCTTTGGATCTACTGTGGTCCAGATTTTGTTGCTCTTCGGAATCAGTAATTTCGTTTATAAGGGGAGTATCTGACACACTATATGGGCGATAACCCATGAGAAGTTCATTAGATGTCCTTTTGGTATCTTTGTGTATGGTGTCGATCACTGCAAATTGGACCCTTTTGATATATTTGTCCCAATTGACATCGTCTTCGAAAGTGATCAGTCTAGAAGGTATTGTGCGGTTGTACCACTCTAACTGTTCGTTTGCACGTGGTGTAGAAATTGAGTTTTTAATATGTTTTATATAGTTTTTCCTTTGCAGAACTTTCAAAATATCTTGGAAGTAAGTGTACTTCTACGGTCATTTATTAATCGCTTGGGCACACCGTATGTCTGTATTAGGTATGTCCTCTAGGAAATTAATAACAAATTTAGTTTTTGTATATCGCACTGGTCTAGTAATAAGATACTTCGTAAAAGAGTCTACTAACACTATGAGGTGCATGTTTCCGCGTTCACTTTTATTAAAAAGTGCTAGACGATCTATTTGTAATGTTTCAAAGGGGCGTTTTTCCTTAGGGATAGGATACAAATAACCTTCGTTTCTACCACATGTGGGTTGTTTACTGTAAAAACTCGGGATACAACTTGCAATATATTTCGTAATATAGCTCCTCATGTTGCGGAACCAATAATTGTTGCACAAAGCGTCTAATGTGTTTTTAAGAGCGAAATGTTGCCGCATCCCCGTTGGTACGACCCATTGGACACCTCTTACTATGATTCGGTATACGCGACCGTAGCGCAATCCATAGTTTTTTGTATGTATTGTGCTCATAATCGCTTTGTGGTGGTTTCGACAGTACTTCACGGATTAGTTTAATTTTCTCGTCAGTGAGTTGGGCAGAAAGGACCCAGTCGATTGGTTGTATCCTAAGTGTATTTTGTTCTTGGAAGGGTTCTTCCTGCGAGTTCGGTTTCCAACTCAGTGCATCAACATGTTTTTATTTTAAAATTAAATTCTTGTAGCAACAGCTACTATCTAGCAATACGTGGGAGAAGATCTATTTTCGACCAAGTACTTTTGATAGCATTGCAATCATTGAATACTACAAACTATTTTCCCAGTAGGAATATTCTGGTATTTTGCTTCGACATTGGTTGTTTTTCTGATGTCATAAAAAACTGGGTGTAAGAACGAGTCATGTCGTTGAAGCAGAATTCCTCCCAGACACATAATTGAGGCGCCTGTTTGCACTTCGGTGTCTAAATCAGGGGAATATGTTTCTAGTACTGGTCTACTGGTCAATTTTTGTTTAAGGGTTTTGAAAGCAGCCTCCTGTTCTTGTACCCACGCTCAAGAACAAAATTTCCTGTTCCACCGAAATAAGTGCATAATTTTGACTGAAATGTAGAAAATATCCGGTGAGACCAAAAAACTGTCGTACATCGTGAGAGTTACTGGGTGTTCCAAAATTCATAATTGGTGAATATTTGGATAAACTAGATTGCACACCATCTGATGAAATTTCAAAGCCAAGATAATTGACTGAGTTCTGTAAAAAACTACATTTTTGGAGATTCAGATTCTTGTCCAATGATTTGTATCAAGGATTCGAGTTTAGTCAGATTTTCTTCTTCTGTTTTTGAAAAAATTAGAATGTTGTCGAGGTATACTGCGGCCAAGTCACTGTGAGAGGTCAGAAGTTTGCTAAGAAGTCTTTGGAGTACGCTGGGTCCGTTACAGTGACCGAACGGAACATTACTATATTCGTAACGACTGTCCGGAGTAATGAATGAAATATAGGCTTTGGAACCGTCTTCAATCGGAATCTAGTGATAGCCGGACATCATGTCCAGGAGGGTATACCACTTGGTTGCCTGCAGTTTCCGGCTCTGTTTATCTTTAATCCATCT